GAATGTCATACTAGCAACCTGACAATAGAAATAGCTACGCTGTCCTACAAGAACATTTTGGTATCCAAGTTGAGCAATGCACACCCATAAGACAAAAGATTACACCTTAAAAAACTGCCGAAAAATTACCCTGGGCGATTTCTTGGTCCCATTTTATTTTATTTTAAACCCAAACTACCGTTTAACAGCCCAGGGCGAATTTACGGCAGAGTCCGGTAAATATGCAACTACCGATAAATCTTAAAAAGTAACTACAAAGAACAGCACGAGGGATTGAAGTAATGTTAACTGGTGGTTGTTTACATATATGACAAATAAATCAGGCTTTAGACATCATGTCCTACTGAATTTACTTCAGAGTAAAAATGAACACCAGTAGACAATATCAAAAGCCAATCTCAAAATGATTTTTAGCATGTGGATGAAGAAGCTTTCAATACAATCAACTTTAGATGCAAATAGAGATGTGATCTTGTTTGTAACCAAGTGAGCCATAGCACTTGTTTTGGTTCTTCAAGTAATCAAAGTCTAGAAGCAGAAGTCAGCAGTGTCCATACTGTCTGAGTGTGTACTTTGTCATATACTTGTGATAACCTTGTTAATTAAAGGTCCGGCTTAAGTGTTGAAGAACTTCTTTTGCTCTTAAATAACATTCCATTCAAACCCAGCATCATAATACTAAATACCATGGCTAGATATGTCCAGGGGCATAATGGATACCATGACAGGAAGGAATGGAACACTATATGAAGGCAAAAAGTCTTGCTCTCAGATACAGCGGTCATTTGCTTCTAAGGTTTATTAGAAATGGCTATCGCCGGGGGCAGACATCCAGGCATTTTCATCGCTTGGCAACCCTGGCGGTGAAAACAAAGGCCAAAAACTCTCAGAAAATGGTACTTTGGGATGGTTGTTGAGACTCCTCTGAACAGTGTAACAAGATTAGTCCTGCATGTGTAACATGTATAAATTTGCTTGTTCAGGATTACTTGAAAGTTGAGCTTGTGTTGTTTTCTCGAAATTTCACCGGCTCGACCGGCGTTCCACAGCAGCACGGACAGAACCCATAGAAATGCATGGTACAGTGGTGCGTGTCTTAGCAACGTGGAACGTCTTGTGATGTAGCTCCGCCCCCGAGGATAGTAACAAAAGTAAATTCAACCTACCAGACCAGCTACAGCAGCAGTAGTTGTAGCTATTGCTGGCACAATTCTTCCAGCTATTTTCTTTATTTTTAACCTATCTGCATTATCTATATTATACATTGTTGCACGTATATTGGCTGCCGATGTGATAAAATCAATGTGACCATTGTCATCGTTGTCTTTTTCAAATGTTACAGGATGTAATGACAGAGACTCTGAAAAAAAATGTTAAACAGCGCCCTCTTGAGATCAAATTAAAAACAAGTTCTTCATTGATTAATAATAACTATATATATGCACTAATGAAATCAATACTCAGCATGCATACTTTAATGATCAAGTATACAACAATAATGTCATTTTTGGTACTGTGAAATACTTTATTTTAGCTGGAATTAATTTTCGCTGAAAAAAGGTATTGGGTGTTTTGTATGGAATTTATTTTCACTGATTTCCGATAGTTGCATGTAAAATATGGAAAAAAAAAAGGTATATTCATTGGATTTTATTTTCACTGAATCATTCCTTCAGCGAAAATAGCGAAAATTAATTTTACAGTATATGCATCCTTCTAAGCAAATATAACAAAATTGTGATTGTCCTGACCTTGCTTAGCATTACCATCTTTAATAAGTTTTGATAGCGTCTTACAGCAATACATTATATCATCACTTGTAAAGTTCTCCTCTTCATCTTCTCTTGGCTTCTCAGCTGATTCATCAGTTTCAATTTTCTAACAGTAAGGAATATATATTTATTTACTAACTATTCTTGCAGGCGAACATCAAGGCATTTACACTGCCTGGCAACCATCATCGGTGAAAACAACTGCCTAAACCTTTCAGAAAATAGTACTTTGGAATAGTTGAGACTCCACCAAACAGTGTAACAAGACTACCCCTCCATATGCAACATAGCGGTATATCTATTTGGAAGGATTACCTCAAAGTTTGTGCTGTTTCCCATTTGTAGCTGTTTTCACCAACTCATTGACCCGCTTTCCACAGCAGCTTGCATGTCCAAACAACACATAACGTTCTGTGATGTAGCCCCACCACAGTGAATAATGAGTGTTCAAGATATCAAATACTTTCTTCTTTAATACATTCTAAAGACTCACCTTAGACGAGGGTACAAATGGAGGAACATCTGTCTTTTCTAGTATTTTAACAATGTAATGTGTATCTGTGCAAGTTACAGCAACTCCCCAAACATAAGCAAGTAGCTTGGCTAGACTCAGTATAAAATTTGTATGCCTGTAAATTTAGAACAGAAAAACAGATATTAAAATATACATGCAGTGTTACAGCATGTTACAGTTTTGTGGTATTTGCATACTACCTTATATAGATATGCCAATTCCTAATCAGGAATGATGATATGATATTTCAAAGTCAATGGTACTAAAAAGTGAACAATTTCAATGACTTCTCGATAGCCATCAGTTGGACACGGCAGATGTATATTAACAATATTATCATTAACTTACGTCGAATTATTATACATCTGACAACAAAAACAATAGCATTCTCCCGTTCGTAAAATGCCATACGTATGTGTTCAAAAGTGTTATGAATGCGTTTGAATGTCTTTCTTTGTGCGCATCGTGTTTATATCACATTCAAACACATTCCTTCCATTCACACAGCACTAGACGTTCTTTGTTGCCATTTCAGGCTGCTATCTCTCAGGCAAAAGATGTATACTAACAATGTTATCACAAAAATACCAAAGTATAAACTCAAGCAGTATGGTAACTAAACAAGCTTGGCTACACGTCTGTTGATACGATGATTATACTGCCCTCATGCATACTATCTCATCTCATCTCATAATAACCTCATAGTATACACCCAGACAGTATGGACACTGCTGCATTTCTCTAAGTATTTGTAGATAGAGCTGTGCTCAAGCAGTACAGTAACTAAACAAAGCTTGGCTACACGTCTGTTGATACGATCATTATACTGCCCTCATGCATACTATCTCATCTCATAATAACCTTATAGTATACACCCAGACAGTATGGACACTGCTGCATTTCTCTAAGTATTGGTAGATAGTGCTGTGCTCTTTTCAGTATCAGTGGATGTAACACCCTCACAGTATTTGTAATCATATTCCACCATGACCACACACTCATACACACATAGGTCACTCAACATTAGACAGAAGCATTTCGTAGAAACTCATTTATAATGTATCTTGTGCATATTTCATGGTACAATGGTGAATGATCACTTGATTACACACACAAAAATGTCAGCCAAATCATAGCATATTAAACTTTTGTTTTAAGGATGCCCTCTATGGCAAAAATGAAAAATATGTCTTTAAAAGTAATATTTTGAGGGCGATGATGAAATGAATGAAAATAGAATGAAAGGAGTTGTCAAATTCATTGGAAGTTACAATAAAAATACAGAATTTATCAGACATATATTTTTTAATATATGATACCAATAACTGATCCTAAATCTACAATTCTTACACTTTCAAAATAATATTTTGATGAAGCGATACTGAACTTACAAAAAATAACTCACATTTGATTGGTAATGTCAAAATCTATGGGTACGGGTGGTCTCTTGGGTGACTGCCAAAACATAGCTAAATAAGAAATAAAAAAAGTCATGTAAATGGACTTCAAAATAATCAAAGCTGATATAACAAAAACACAATAATAATGTGATACCTACGCCTACATATGTTAGGCGTATAGGCGTGAGATTCTAGGATTATTAAACACTTTTGTTAACTTTTACAAAATTTCAAAAATGTACTTGGGTAACAGCAAATGAATATATCTATCTATGTTGATCAAAACCAATAGCCAATGGAAATTATATCCATTTGATTTAAAACTAACATAGAATGTGTAAAATGTTGTACCAACTTTTTGGAAGGAAAATTTAAGGTGTTCCAATGGCTGATGAAAACTAACTTTTTGTCTTCTTTTTAGTTTGTGGTTCATCCCAGAGCAACTATCTGCTAATTCTCATTGAAATCTGATGAGTGTTTTTGGCGAATTCATGCAAGGAAGGTATTTAATATGCACATATCACGGGAGGTCAAAGGTTACTGGCATGTAAGCAAGATCTTTGACTGGCCTGCTCCGTGGGCTCCGGTGAAGTTTTACAGGTAATAAGTACAGGACAATTAAGCGAATCACTTTATCTGGGATGTAAAGTTCTGGTCGCCGGATGGAAGTGAGTTTTTGTTGAAATTATGCCGCCGAAGACCGTGAAAAGCAAGGTTTCCAAAACGAAACAACAAAATGTCTTACAGGGTTTTGCGACCCAAACATCACGTGACCAAGTTTCGGGAAAAATCGGAACACGAGAGCAAGGTGAAAGCGATGGTGAATCTCCCAATATGCATGACGAG